ATTTCCTGACTTTAGCTTGTGTTCACTCTAAGTTACCAGCTTGGAGGTATTTCTGATTTATTATTTGATTATACTTTGTTAAGTCGGTAACGGAGGACACAGTTAAGGAGGAGACTAAATTTAAAAGAAGAAAAACTACCACAACAAGAAGACATAGTCTTAAATTAGAGGGGAAAGGCCTCAAAAATACATTCAGGAAGTATTACTTTACTGAGAGGGTAGTGGACGCATGGAATATCCTTCCAGCTAATAAAGTGGTAGAGGTTAACACAGTGAGGGAGTTAAAGCATGCGTGGGATAGGCATAAAGCTCTCTTGACTTAAGATAAGGTCAGGGACTAATTAAGGCACTTAAAAGTATTGGCAGACTAAATGGGCCAAACGATTATCTGCCGTCACATTCTATGTTTGTATGTTTATATGTTTCTTAAGCCCTGTCAGTGGTTTAAATTTTGTGGTTGATCAGTGTATAGTAATAATTAAATGGTAAAACCCAATAATACCATTCTCTTAAAAATATATATTAACTACATTTTTAATATCCTCATCATCTTCACTGATTAAAGGGACACACCAAGCACCATAATCACTACAGTTTACATCACCGTCACTGTCTCGGAATTTCTGTATAAACATTGACTGCTAGTTACGGACTGGTTTTCAAGCTTGTCGCTATATTTTACCAGCTGCCAATCTGTCTCTTAATGTAAAACCTTCCTGAGATAGTTGGAAACAAAAACAAACATCAACAATTGCAAACTCTCCATGCATCCTATGGTATTGTATGTATTGTGTGTTAGAGCTAATATGCTGCACTAACCAGTTTTGACATCCAGTCTTACGAGGTCACTTATAGTATTCATGGTCTGACACCAGTAATTACCGCTGCACCCAGTTTGCGCAGACTTAATAGAATATTGATTTACTCCTACTCCGCTTGTAAGAAACATCCCATCTTTGTACCAGACATATTCCTGCGTGATAGAAGCCCCGTTACACGTCATAGTGATTGATTCTCCCTGGAATATCAAGGACCAGTTTGGTGTAAGGGAAATCACAAGCTGACCCTGAGCTCCTGCAAAAGAGCACATTTTACAGATAAATCAATCAGATATAAGTTATCTAAACATATAATGAATGTTATGGGTATAAATAGAAAGGTGGCTTGTAGCCCATTTTACTTGCCTTGTCTATAGCCTGCCAGCAGTGTCTTTACAGGTTTGCTAGACGCACCTGATTTACCTCCTTTGTATAAATTTGTTAAGCAGTCACCAAGACTGGGTCAATATCAGGGCCAGACTGGAAAAAAAAATGTTTGGCCCAGGCTTGTGAAGGAAGAGGAGCCTAGTAGGAGGGGGAAGTAACAGAGGGGCATCAACAATGATGCGCAAGACACTTCAAAATTAACATGTCAGTTTGCTGTCCATCCAGGGCATCTCATGCACAGAGCCCTGCTGAAGAGATCTTGCATGAATACAATGCCCTGTGTTTTTCACACTACAAGCAAATTTAATTACACACTTGCACTGTATTTGTTGGTGACTACACATGTGTGTAGAGGTGATTGCTTGTAGTATTGTGTGTGTGTTTCCATTGACTGTAAAGTGTATTCATCTAGCGGCTGTAGAGAAAAAAAGCACGTGTGTGCATTTATCTATAGGGTGTAGTGTTTTAACAGGGTGCAGTGAAAATATTGGGAGATTTAAGTAAAGAGCTGTGAAAACATCTGAGCAATGACTTTCATCACATGGTTAGGAGAACTTATCATTAAACCTCTTAAAATATCTGATTCTTGTAACTTGTTAATGCGGTCAGGTGCTAATAAGTAGGATCTAGATTTGTAGTTAGCTCTGGAAATATTTAGCCACTGACACAATTTGAATAATTTTGTCTATGTGTGCCACCACAAGGGGTTTGAAATGAAACAACTAAAATGCAATTAAAGTGCAGACGTACATCTTTATTTCATGTTATTTTTAAGGCATTTTTAATGCCTTGGTGTGTCCCTTTAATCAGTGAAGATGATGAGAATATTAAAAATGTAGTTAATATATATTTTTAAGAGAATGGTATTATTTGGTTTTACCATTTAATTATTACTATACATTGATCAACCACAAAAATTAAACCACTGACAGGGCTTAAGAAACATATAAACATAAA